CGTGGTTTACTTGATTTCTGTTAACTGCGGTTTCGTTCCTAGCCCCTAGTCTACGCAATAATCACGATGCACGCCACCTTACTGAAACCCACTTATTTTTAAGTATCGTTATGTTATTTTATGTAACTTCCTTTGCCAAATATACCACTTCTTGTTCACGAAAATGGACTGCGGTACATTTCAGCTGTACTGAGCAAATCTTCGACGCCTTTTCAAGTTTAATCTACCCACTGTTCTCGTCTGTTCGTTTCTAGCTTATAATAGTTCACTCCGATGTGGTCTGAGCTCACGTTCAAGACGATATCTCTATTTCTTTCCAGTTTCATTCCATGGACAACTTTTGGTAGAATCAAGTCAACTAACCTCAGAGCTTGCATCCGTTCCACTACGTCGTTTTGGCCGTGATTGGGTAGCTGTACCTTCCTCACAGATCCTGGTTCAATCCGCTGAATTCTTATCAAACCCCTCCGAAAGTCTCACACTGCAACATTTGAAAAGCATATCGGACCATAACAACTCGTCTGACGTCCTTTCCATTCCGCTGGATCCTTCAACTGGCTTGTTTTGTTCGTTACTTCCTACCGGTGTGTTGGAAATTTGGTTTCCGTCGTTGGTTATCAACTCGAAGATTTTGGAGGCAGTCCTTGATGCATGCAATAATCGACTGTTTGGAGTCAGGTATTTATTACTCCATCGTATACATACATTGTATACCCGTCGGCGGGTAAAATGCGCTGGGCGGAAAATTCTATCGCTTTCTTGCCGGGAAAATAGTTTTATCTCCAACTCGGCTTTTATTTCAACCCTTCTTGGCAGTTAATGCTTGCTCGAGTTCGAGAAGCCGAGACATTCTTCATTTGCCATTTTGAACCTAACCTGGTTCCTGTATCTGGACCTATGCTAGCAGTTATCATGTTGGCATCTAAGGGTAGTATATCTGCTGGGACCCGACCTATTAAGTACGGAGCTACTTATTATTAATAGCGAATGATCGGTTGCCATTATGCTTTATCATTACGGTTTCCCATTGGTTCTTACTTTCGTTTGTTGCTACTTCGCGAGCCAGATTTCTTTGGCCGGATGTTACTCGCTGTTTGCTGTCGCACGAGCCAATCGCCTTTCTCTGTACTCCGGTGAACATTTCCCATCGTCGATGTTTCCCGAGACCAGTTTTATGCCTGCGGCTTGATCTCATGCGATCGTAGTGGTCTGGTTTCCTCACCGACTGATGTACTAGCGATAACATTTCCGCGGACGTTCCGTTTGCCCAGTCTTTCCAAACTTTCAATTACGTGTATGGGCGTCGGCCAGTGGCCGATTAATCTCCGCGTCTGGATTGCAACCATTAGGTCCCTGGTTCGAATCCGCGTAGGGGCGGGCATCCTCGCGGTATACTCAGCACACACGTCACTGGTTGTGGTCGTGCGACAGCAAAGCGCCGTGCCGGCATATAGCTGACACATTTATTAATATAACTTGTATGGGGATTGTTATATTCTCGGCTTTTAGGTTTGAAGCTTGTTTCATCTGTGCTAGTTTTCTGTCTATATCCGTGTTTTATGAAACCGTATCCTATTAAGTCAAGTCAAAATAAGCTTTATGCACCCATGTTGGGACATTTTTAGCAATCGGGTTGATCTCCACGATTATCAGCTTATCATATTGTTCATTGCATTTCTACGTGGCAAACTGAATTGCCAAATGGCGCTCTCTTTTATCCCTCCGCTCAGGTACTTACCTTGCCTTCGCATCCGCTGGGTCACCGAATTCTACTATAGGTCGGGCTTATGAAGAGGTTGCCATTGCAGTCGCTCTTTATCCCAGTCGCCACAACGGTCGGACTCACATTCGTTTGGAACGGCAGCTTACGGAGATCGCCTTTGGTGGTCCCGACGACTTGATTCGACGGCTTAAGTTGCATTCTGCTTCACCTGGAGACCCTACTCGGTGTGGCATACTGACATCGATTGGCAAGTCCAGACTGGTGAGTTTGTTGCTGAGTGCGCCGTGGCACGCTTTGTCCGACTGCGACATTACAGTCCTTAAGTTTCCTGGTTACACAGTACCACTTTCCCGATCATTTTTTGGTTACACTGTTATTTATCATCGATGGACGCAAATCGCTAGTGGACGCACAAATCCCAATTGTAACTCGTTGGTCGTTAATGATGGACAGTCGATGCACACAATGCATGGTTCTGAATATCTATCAGAATATCCTACGTCTTACCTAACAGTAAGCAGTCTCTTGCGTATGGGAATTGAATGTTGTCTGCCGGAAAACACTGCGCTCCAACACTCTTTTAGACCTTGTTTTATCTTATCAGGTAGGTATAGCAGTCCTCGAAAATGAGACGATTGAGATGTTGGTTGGAATCTTTACCTCTTCAGACATCTCCGAGAGAAAAACCACGAGACCCTGTTTTATCTATTCTCACTACCGGCAAAATCCAGGGGTGCGCCTGATTACCACTTACTTCATTCGTCACCATTTACTCGATTATTCGTTTCAGTACATATAATGTTCCGTCCGGAATTGCTTATTATATTGGGAATCCATTAAAGTCTATATGGTTTTATTTCAGTCGTCTCGCTTACACTGCATTTAGGTAGTGAGAATAGGAAAAACAGGGTTTCATCATTTTTGTCCCGAAGATGTCTGAAAGGGTAAACGTTCCAACAAACATCCCGATTGTCCCGCGTTCGAAGCCTGATATCTCTACCTAATGAGAGCAAAGAAGGTCGAAACGCGTAGTGGAGCGCAATGCTTTCGTGCGGATAACACCTGTTTTTATGCGAATTGGTCAAGATTCACCTCAATGCAAATCACGGCCCGTTGAGATCGCGTATCGCAATCCTATCACACAACGAGTATTACAAAATAGCTACCCAACGTAGTCACTTAATTGTGTATTTTGTTGAGGGGACGACAAAAAATCTGGGGGTTTCTTCTTTCATCCTTAGCGATATAAACATAGTATTCCTGAAGAGACCTATTCTATGTCAACACCGTCTTCGCGAGTCACTTTGACGCAATGGCTATGTTGGGTTATGTTTTGAATCCCATTTACAGCCCGTTGTCATCCCTGAATAATATGGGCACATTCACATTAGTTTCTGTGGTACTAGTGTGGCAGAAGTGGCGGGCAGTACCCTTTTTTGCCAAAAGGACTTCTTCAGTGACACAAGTTGTGTCTACTATCATGAGCCTAAACCGCAGTTGTACTAGTCTGATTTGGTCTGTTGCAATGCGATTTTGCGCATATGTCTGCACCCCCACACTTTCCGTTTGCTTTCTTCTTGTGACTTCTTTTTGCTATCCTGTATTATACTTTATCCATTGTGTTTCTTAGATCGCGCGTAATTTTGAATTGCGCGGTCTCAGACTAACGCGTGTTCCTTCTTAGTTCTTTAACCGAACAGCAAAAATCAGTCGTCTCACTTTCACAACCTCTGGTCGTCATCGCTGACGCTTGTTTGGTCCCTTCAACTATTGGCTCTGATGGAGCATGCACAAGGTTGCCTTCTCTCACCGACTCATCCTGCTCCGACAGCATTAGTAATTAGACTATAGCTGGGGCACTTTCTAAACAGTTACAACATTGTAATTTTTGTGGACGCAGTGTCATTCATTCTTATTTGTTAAGATAATATAAGTTAGCCATTCAACTCAATCCGGGACTTTGCTTTTCTAAGTACAAAACTTACTCGCAAGGTATAAGTTGTGCATAATGCAGGAGCTGGCGAATGTGTACCCCTTATTGCTATGAGCACTATTGTTATACATTATCCACACGAACTCAGGATAGTGAACAACAAAGTGATCTGGCATACTGTGATGAATTGTCTAGCGAATACGGACTTAAAACTAGCTGAAATATACAAAAGTCTTCGGTCACGGCATAGTGATACGACCCACAATGCGGTAAGACATTTGAATGGGGGGTACGCTTCAAAGATGGTCTTACGTCTATCACTATTGATCCGGGTGGATGTGGATTCCAGCTCAAAGCTACCATTTATGGGAACATTCATCGTTCAGACATCTCATTATTGACAATATTCGCGTAATGTGTCATGAACTTACAAACTTTGGGAATAGTGAATAAAATAATTCGGGATCATTTAGCTCTTTCGAAAATGAGCACTGAAGCATCTTTCTGGTTTTGCTCGACAAAGATGAGTTTAGATCTTCACTTTATGTGTGGACCGTTATGATATAGGGGTTCGGGTTTCCCGTAGCAAATCACCTTATAGTTCTGACTTAACGCCAGTTGCCTTCTAACTTTTTAGGTTCGTAAAGGAATTCAGCGAAGCCAAAGCTTCCACAGTGATCATGAAATCAGACATGTTTTTCCAAACTGGTTTATACGCACTGACAAACTCTACCACGCTGAAGAGTTCCATGCAATAACGCTGGGATAGCTATTTGACTAAAGCGGAGGTGTATGTCGCGATATGAATGCAGTTGTCACTACTTGAACTCTGTAAGTTTCACTTCAAAAGACTCGGACTGACTCGAACGTCCTGTTGCTATTTTCTAGGTTTGTCCTCTTTGAGGGATTTCACTTGTTTTTGTTTACGACGAATAGTTTACTCTCAGAAAAACCATACGTGATCTCTTGTCGCAGAAATGGAGGATTTTATTATGTTACCTTTTCAGTTGTCAAGGTTTTTTCCTTGCTTGCACTTGCATTCTCAGGGGAGACCGATGTATGCTTTCTCACTCGGACTCAACATCACCTCCATAGAGCCCAACAACTTAACTGAGGATGGTGAACCGATCACTTCAGAAGATGCTCTTTTGAACGAAACGGTTGCTCCGAAGCCATTGTTCCCTAAAGTCATTTTGCTCGGGAACCTACACGGGGACGATCAGCTGGTACCGCAACTACTGGTCCACTATGTGGAGTGGTTGTGTGCGAACCGAAATCAACATAGCAGTGTTGCGGCGATGCTCTCCTCCGTACAACTGACGATTATTCCCATTCCAAATCCAGATGGACTTTTTCACGCTTGGCAGCGGTTCCCATCGGGTTCATCTTTGGGCGACGGTATGTCGGACGACTCACGCGTGCAGTACTGCGACAAGTAGGTTTCTGCTTGGCTCATCAGATTTTCCTTTTCAACATTTCGTCGATAATACTGTTACAACTGTTGAGCGTACTTATAGATTAGTTTTGCGTGGTTACGTTGTACTACTAATCCGGTACGTTTATCATGAATAAATAGTAGCTGCTCTGATGATATGGAATGGATATGAGGATGGATGAGAACCTTAAGTTGAACCAAATGTGCTGACCAAGCGTTCGGTGCACCCTCATCTAATGGACACCGCAGCCACAAGTGGCGGACAGTCGTGTGGAGTTAAAACGGCATCAACAGAACAGCAACCTTGCAGCTGTCACTCTTGTGCATTATCCTTTCACTCGTCAGGTGCTTTAGCATGGATTCGACTCTGATTATATCTTCGATCTGTTCAGCACATTTGTTATGAAAGGTATTCCCATAAAACCTTATAAGTTTCTAGCGCATCTAAACAACATCACGCCGTGTGGTGAATTATTGGACAGCTTTCTTACTATGGGTCGCGTTCATCCCAGTTTCCGCATTTTCCAACTCCCATGCAGATACTGAGGTGCTGCCTGGGAAGAGAACTGGTCACATCGGATTGTGGTTGATATCGCCTTATCTCTAGTCATCGTTTCCGCATTTGCCTATCACTGAGACTGCGAACAGCCACACTCCGCATGCAACTACAGAGGAGCCATGGATGACTTGAACTGCACCACCCACAGCTCCACTCACACATTCGATATCCACTGTAAGCCTAAGGGAATAGGACCGGGAGGCATGTGAATGGGAGCCACATTTCATCAACGCAGCCGGCCCTCATTCCTTCAATATACACAACAACAGCATTCCTGTCTATCTATGTAGGGAATCATGCATACCAGGCGTACACAACGTGGTGACTGGCTAGTAGTCCGCTTCACACTAGATGGAACCACTTTTTGAGCCTAATACGGTCACGAGGACGGTGCACCCTGTCCACCACAGCAACATCCATCTTCTGGTGCCAGTGTAGTCGAGATGGTGGTTTTCGACAGGTAGCCGTTCTGCCAGCATTCAAATCAGGCGCAACCACATTGGGAAAATCAGTCAGAAAACACCAAAAATGCAAGAAAATAAACACAGTCGCACGTACAGACGAACTGCAGCGGTTATGCAGCATGCGTGCCACATTTGCCTCTTTTTTACCCTGGGTTATCATTTGCAATTGGAAGCAACGTACCTACCGTGATAAGATTGTGCAAGCAACCGGCTAGCGTGCCGCAAGCAAACAGAACAGTTGATTGGACGGCTGCGCATATTTCGTCTACGCGTTGATTGGTTCTCTGAAGCAGGTTTGTTTAACTGAATCAAAGGAAGAATCTCATGAGTGCAACAGCGTCGTTAGTTATGGCACTGACTTAGTTATTTATATTGAGGTTCCTATATGCTTGTCAGGCTGTTATTTTTGCTGAGCTCGCTTTGCTGGAGGACCGAGTTCTGCGTCATAATGTCAGAGAAAACCAAGCCAAGATCACCCATTGTTGCTCAGTTGCTGTTTGGAGCGCAACCAGCTGTGCAACCACCTGCCCTACCAAATATGGAAGAACAGCATTTGGCCAATAATTAGAGAATCTGGAAAAGCACGTGGATCGATTTCTGCGTGCAGGTGCGGCTAAACGAACAACCGATGGTGTATCGATTGGCGATGTTTAGACAAACGATCGGTGATCAAACACGCCGCGTCTTGGAAACGATGCAGTACGAAAAGGACGAAGACCCATCTGATCTGAAAACTGTCTTTCGAAAATTTGGTGATTTCTGCGAATACCAGACTAGCGAAACATATCAGCGGTATCTCTTTTTTACCCGAAACCGGCACCCAAACGAAACTATGGAGAACTATGTTACGGAACTGAAGGTCCCGGCTCGTTCCTGTACATTTTGCAATTGTATGGCGGTCAGTCTCATCCGAGATAGTATTGTGCAGGGGATCAAAGATGAAAACATCACCAAGTGGCTGTTTCGGCAACGCAATTGTCGCTCAAACAATGTCTTGAAATATGACACAGTGAATCATCAGCTGCACACTACATCCAGCAAATGCGGTTGCAGACTGAAGCAGAGCTTTGTGCTGTATCCAGTTTACCTAATAAAACTGCGAAGGCTGTTATCAAGGCACACGAATTCTGTACCGCGCGACACCCGAAGAATCGCGATCAATGGCCGGTGTGGGGCCGAATCTGCGCTAGATGCGGCAGACGGAATCATTTTGCTCGATGTTGTCAGTTTTCAAAGGTGGATGCTCCCAATTGTGACGCAGCGCTCTCCGACGCTGAGCATTCAATCAGCAACGTGTTGCAGATGGGACCGAAGAAACTCATCTACACAAGTTTATTGTTTGGTGACAAAATTGTGCGTTTCCAGCTGGACTCGGGTGCTACCATAAACATGATTCCAGCAAAGCGTTGCCCAGGAATTCCTGTACGGCCTGATCAGAGAGTCCTGCGCATGTGGAACGGTTCCAAGCTCCAGCCGAAACGTTTTGCTCGAAGCAAAACGATCAATCTCAAACACGGCTCTTCACATCAGTTGGATATCATGGTCGTGGAGGAAGGGCTCACGCCGATTCTCGGCATTGATTTCATCCAATGTCTTGGATTTATTCCTTTTAACCATGACGGTTTTGTGCATGTATGTGAATCGAAGACAGATGTTTGTGAACATTATCCGTCCGTGTTTAACCCAGTTTTTTGGGAGGTTTGAAGGTTCCGTTCATTGGTCAATAGAACAATCATTACGACAGATCGCGCTGCCAGCTAGAAGGGTTCCGTTTACATTACCTGATAAGCTCGCCACCGAATGAAGTAACTTGACGCAATTGGACGTAATCGCTAAGCTAGACGAGCCGACAGACTGGGTTAGCCAAGTCGCAATTGTTACGAAATAGAACAGTGATTTGCGTCTGTGCATAGATCCTAAGCTGTTGAATGAAGCTTTGCGTAGAAAACACTACACTGCCAATGTTAGAAGATGTCCTGCCGCATTTGGCTGAGGGGAAGTACTTCCTCAAGCTTGATCTTTCATCGGCGTTCTGGCACTTAGTCCTAGATGAGGATT